TTGGAAACAATAACACCATAACAACTTCTATATTAGGAACAAAAACAATAACACCATGACAACTTCTATATTGGAAACAATAACACCATGACAACTTCTTTGTTGGAAACAATAACACCGTGACAACTTCTATATTAGAAACAATAACACCATGACAACTTCTATATTGGAAACAATAACACCATGACAACTTCTTTGTTGGAAACAATAACACCATAACAACTTCTATATTAGAAACAATAACACCATAACAACTTCTGTATTGGAAGCATAAAACTATAATTTCAGTAATTATTTTGAGAGATGATTCATGAAAATCTATTTTCAGAAAAGACAAAGTAAATAACTACTCAAAAAAGAATGGATAAGTAATATATGCATTGGTTCTGATGGGTTATTGAAATATTTGCAGTAAAACTATTTGATCTTGAAGCTAACAAAATAATATATTATGTCCATTTACAGTTTATCTTGCTTCTGAGCTGGATTCAGTTTGAGCCTCTTAAACTTGGAGAATACGTGTTTCCACCGGAAGGAAACGCCATTGGCTGGGTGTTGGCATTTATTCCCATTTCATGTGTTCCCATTGGAGCTTTTTGGGAGCTTTTTAAACATAGGGACATCCCGTTTAAAGAGGTAAGTTACTTAAATTGCTGTTGACGCCATTTCCATAATCTTCGAAATTTAATGGGAAACAAAACTATCCCAAAAGATATATTTATCTAACGGTCGTATCGAAATACATATAAGAACTAAATCTTTTATAAGTTTTGACATTTCAATATGAATTTTACAGCGCCTGCAGTTTCTTTTGGTCTCCACACCAACGTGGAGAAAAAATGCCGATAAAAATACACGTCAAGAGTTGGAGGGAGTGTTACCCACTGTCACCGTGGGTCAAAACTCGGTATCGACAGCTTACAGCAACGCCTTTAATCAGCCTCCGCCTCAATATACCATTAAATAAACTTTCTTTTGAGAGTCGAGAAAATAAATCGGTATTGTTGTATATAATCCCTGTAATTTAAAATTTATGTACAGAATATTACTTCATAATTTTAGTTAGGTTCCTTATATCATAACTATTTTCTTGAAAGTAATTAGACGGTAGTACGATAAGAATCACTGTTTGAAACTGATTATCAGTATTTCGCTTTTACGGCTTTTTCAAGGTTAATACATACAAACCCTGAAGAAGCCTTAAAAGCGAAACGTTGGTAGTAATAAAAAAAAATATATATATACATCTGGGTGTGTGTAGGTCGTTTATCTAAACTTTTATCACAATGTGTAAATCCCTTCAGTAATGCAGTACAAAAACTTTGAAATAAAACAAAAGTACCAAGTAGATTTAGCTTTATTATAAGCATTATACTAACTTTTGTGATTAAGAATACAATTGCACTTTAAACATTTACCTGTAATGAAAACTACTCGTTTTACGCCTTCTATAAACTTACAATACTTACTCATACCGCATGTGTTTGAATGATTTAGCTATCTTAAGTCATTCTAGGTTTTAAAATTTCGAACACTATCACATCATCTATAAAAGTATTCTGCCTCTCAGATATTGTGTACCTGTAGAAGTATTCCGCCTCTCAGATATTATGTTTCTGTAGAATTATTCGGTCTGTCAGATATTACGTATCTATCAAAAAGTATTCCGCCTCTCAAACATTGTATGTCTGTATTTTATTTTTTAAGTAAGTTAACGGTACAATTCAGTTTTTTTCTCTGAAATATTTATCAAATATAGAAACGAGAATAAGAAATCATAAACGTGGAAACATTCTTTAATGCTTTATGTAATGTGTATAAACTTTAGTTTCGTATTAATTTTTTCTAGTTTTGCACTATATTTATAGGCGGAGTGTAACAGAAATGCAAGATTGATATGACTATGGTGAAACCAATATTTATTCTAGTTTAATAGGACATAAAAATGTAGTTTTAGTATTTAGAAAGTTCCCCAAAGTATAAAATTGGAATCTAATTTTGTACATTATTAAAAATGTGCCTAATTATACGATTACTTGAGATAAATATCAACTTTAGGCCTCAGTTGTATAAAAGCTCACACATTAGTAATACTGTTGCCATAAGTTATTCTTATATTTATGAATACTGCGAACACCTAAAGTATTTTATAGGTTATTTGTGGTAAGTAAAGGACTATAAATCAAAACCAAGTTGTTACTGTGTTACTTTTGAGAGAAAAAAAAAACAATTCTTAGTAACCTCGTTTTACCCATTAATGTGTGTATGAATTTCGATATATATACATATATATACATACACACGACTTTATTATATTTTATTACGATATTTAGGACGTTCTTTACCGTTAAAACTTGTGTACTTGAGAATGATCGCACCAGTGATTGAAACATCGTTCGTGTTCTAAAAACAAATCTTTCTTTAAAAGCTGTAACTTGTGATATAATATAATTAATCAATCAGTAAACTCAAAACTAAATTATTAATTCATACACATTGTGAATTTTAATCGAAAAATAGTTACATGGTATTAATCCTTGATAGAAAGATATTTTAATCCTACTCTTTCTTCGAACCACCAGTGTGTGTGTGTGGTGGTAATTCTGAAGTTTGTATATATATATATTTACAGAAAATGATATAGTTTATAAAATGTTCGTAGCTTTGTAAAATTAATTGTGAGTACAATTTAAAATATCATTAAACGCAATCTTTAATGAAAACTTCCAGTTATATTGATGAATCATTCATATGTGCTGTACTTATAAAATGAATGTCAAAATATTTTGAAGAAATAAAATGTATTTTTTACAGCTTTTTTATACTTAAAAGTATCGTTAAGGATTCTTACGATATTGCATGTTTTGTTTTGTTTTTTTACTTAAGGTATCACATTCCAATATACATTGTCTATTTTAATGGAAAAACATTTATTTTTTGTAAGTTTAAAATGCATTATGTACCTACTAAATAATTCAGAAATAAATATTTTAAACTGATATTATGTTCCTATTTTATATGATTTATTTCAAATCCATATGTTAGACAAAGAAAAACGTACAATTAAACATGACTGAATGCATAATACATAAGGTTGTAAACCTAAAATGTACTTTTAAACCTTATTAATAAATTGTTGTCTTCGTGCAAAGCTATAAAATGGGCTATCCGCACTCACTCCACCGCGGGGACTCAAATTCCTGATTTTAACGTTGCCTCTGCCCCACTGGAAGGGGGGGGGGGGCTTAATATTAAAATCGAATGTATAATTAACGTTTGTTTTGTTATTGGTAAACTACGTTAAATTTTTACAATAGCTGCTAATCTGTGTGGATGTAGTTGATTTAATTACGGTTGGTTGTTAAGTGCAAAACAACACAATGGGCTATCTGTGCTTTGCCCACCATAGATGTAGAAACCCAATTTTTCCCATTGTATGCACGCAGACTTAATGCTGAACCACTTTAATTAAAGTAAAATATGTTTAATTGTAGAAAATAACGAAACATTTTGACAGTAAACTTTTTTAGTTACATCTACTAACTGATTTCGTATACAATCTTATATTGTTTGTTTTGTTTTTAAATTTCGCGCAAAGCTACACGAGGGCTATCTGCGCTAGCCGTCCCTAATTTAGCAGTGTAAGACTAGAGGGAAGGCAACTAGTCATCACCACCCACCGCCAACTCTTGGGCTACTCTTTTACCAAGTTAAATACAAAATTACACGGTGCACTATCCGTGCTGTGCCTACCGTGACTATCGAAACCAGGTTTTTAGCGTTGTAAGATAAATGAACGCTTTAAAAGTAGATAAAAAGATATCTTGGAGTTTAATAATTTTTCATAAAATAACAACAGATATGATTTTAGGAATGAATCATGAACTTTTTTACGATGCTTTATTATCAAGTATTTTTCATTCCAGAGAAACAAATATGACAAATAATTTATAAGTTACCGAAAATATTTACAATAACTTTCTAAAAATCATTAAATAAAGTCATCAATCTGTAATGAACGTCTCTTTTGAACTTGAGATATTGAATGAAAAAAACATTTATAAAATCAATGATTTCTTAGGGTTATGAATACAAACAACAGGATTTGTGTAACGAAGAAGGTAGCTAAAATACTCACCATAGCTACTGTAAGTAAAATTAAACATAGTTTAAAAATTTTAATGCATCAAATAATTAATAACAACATGAGCTTTTGCACATTTGAGCAGAAGTAGATTACTAAAATACTAGCTAATTAGAAAAATCATTTCGTTCAGTATTTTTTTAAGAGTTTAATAATTATATTTAAATGAATTCAAATGATAAGGTTATGATAAAAATTCTAAGTCATTGTTCTTTCCATGGCCAGGTGGTTAGGGCACTCGACTCGCAATCTGTGGGTCGCGAGTTCGAATCCCCCGTCCCACCAAACATGCTCGCCCTTTCAGCCGTGGGGGCATTATAATGTGACGGTCAATCCCACTATTCGTTGGTATAACAGTAGCCCAAGAGTTGGCGGTGGGTGGTGATGACCTTTCCTCTAGTCTTACACTGCAAAATTAGGGACGGCTAGCACAGATAGCCCTCGTGTAGCTTTGCGCGAAATTCAAAAAACAAACAAACAAACATTGTTCTTTCCCAAACATGAGTTATTAACTGTAGAATGACTGAAAATGTTTATGTCCATAAGAAAAATAATATTTTAAAAAATAAGAACTGTATTAAAACAGTATTGTTAAGGTCGTCTAGAAGGTAGAGTTAGACTTGTTTGATAAAACATTCAAATTGTTTAAACGCTGTGTTTATTTTTTGTGTTAATAGAATCTAGATGTATCTATTATCTTGTAATATAATAATAAATATCCCAATTTCTCCATACCAAACAGGTATTATAAACAATAATACACCACATTACTTCCCATTATGTAAAATTCCATAATAAGTTGATAATTCCGTAATATTGATGCACATCAAAATTATTTGTTTCTTTATTTAAAAAAACAAAAAATAATCCAATTTCTGGATCCCTCTGCAGATATATGAATATTTTATGATCAATTAACATACTTCATTCAAAACATACTCTGTGTGAATTTACTTTCCAAATTGATATAACCAAAATTCTCTGTTTTCACCAAATCATCTCCATGTTTCCATGTAACCATTGGAATGGAAGATGTAATTTAGAGAATTGCTTCCGATAAAATGCCAGAATATAACCTGATTTTCGGTAAATATCATGTTTCATTACATTGGGTTCATTAAGAGATAAATTTTCTATTCCCTAATATCTTCATACAAAACTATGTTTACCTCTATTTACAAGTTTTTGATTTTTGGTTTTGTAAATCTTTCATTACATAGTCGGTTGATCTATCACTAGATTTAATCAGCGAATGCCACACTTGTTGGTCAATTGTATGTTCCCTCCTCTTAGGGATAGAGGACCATAGAATGGCTCCGAGCTTTTCAAGTACAAACTTTAAGCCCATAGCTCCGTCATCTCTTAACTAATTTGAGATCAATTCACAATTTTGGACTCAGGAGGACAAACCCTTTCGATTGATGTATTTGACCACACCCAAGGTTTCATATATTAATTTACTCTAATCCTGCCTAAAGAATTTCAATTTGAGGGTAAGGTGGTAGAGATCCTGAGGAATAATAAAATCGAATCGGGTATACGAGCGCCCCACTCTTGGTATCGCTGATGCATAAACATATAGCTAATAAAAAGATTTAAAAAGGTACCACAGATTATTTTATTCTAATCCTGTCTAAATGAATTTCAAATTGAGGATCCCCTTGTTTAATGTAAGAACACCCACTGCTTTCAATTCATGTAACTTTTCGCTCTCAGTATGTCAAGTTCAAAAGAGACATAATTATAGGTTGAGGACCTCACATTGTTTAATGATTTTAGAAGTTTAAATATTCCTTGTGATCGTTAAATTATTTGTCATCTTTGTCTCACTCGAATAAGAGATACTGATTAAATACTTTATGCTTCTCCCATAAGGTCATAATCTGAGTTTTTATATTTAAAAGGATTTAATATGAAAATATATTTTCATTTGCATGAATAATTTATTTTGTTTTTACAGTTCCAGTGAATATGTTGTAACTGGAACCATTTTTTTTTCAGTTTTTTTCATAGCTGTTGACAAATGAGTGTTATTAGAGGCGAATATAGCTTATTACAGTTCCATGGGTTCCAAATTATATAGCTTATTACAGTTCCATGGGTTCCAAATTATATAGCTTATTACAGTTCCATGGGTTCCAAATTATATTTTCCATTCAAATGAATATTGTACGAATCTTTATTAAACAACAGGTTTAAGAAACTCTTTGATACACATCGTCATGCCACTGTACAAAAAAAAACAAAAAACATTTCATACAAACAGAAAAAAGAGATTAAAAACTTGAAATGTACATGCTCAGGGAATTGCAAAAAGGTTGCATGAACATGTTAAGATATTTAAATTATATCATAACAAAGTTAACTAATGTTAAAAATTTGAAATGCTGATTGTATTAAACTATATGATTAAATCTATTTCTTTTTGTTTAATTATCCTGTCTAATAGTGTTGGACTACATACCGATAACATTTTGGAAACTGTTCCCGTTGTTGTTTAGAAACTTATAAGTTAAGAGTGACTGCAAGCTTTATTCTAAGGCTTTTTATTTTTATAGTTACAGATTGTTAATAATTTATCAGTTTGTCTGAGCAACAAAGGACCCTAGTGTAACATTTTGAATTATGGAATCAAGACAAAGGAATACCGAGTGGAATGAAATTGATTTACGTTTCTAGAAGAAACCAAATCTGTATTAGAATATCAAGAATATGAACTGATGGAGAAAACCAAGATCATAAAAGGAAACTAAAGTTATTGATCACTGTAGTGAATTTGGAATGTTCACGTCACCAAAAACTATAATCTTACAAGCAGAGGATGAAAACTGATAGAAACAACAAAAATCACGAGCCATACAAAGACAGGGCTTGGACTATCTTCGGGTCTTGTTTGGATCCTTCCTGGAATTCCTCCATTGACAGTTTGTTGTCTTGATTCTAGGACAAAAAAAATGTAGATTCTATCCATGTTTGAAAAACCCAGTATCAGAAGTTTAACCTTTGTGATGTTCGTAACATATGCTTGAAAGTTCACCGCTAAATCTCAACATAACATTTCTAAGAAGAAATTGGTCGATATTATTTTATCCTAAAATATATTTTATTTTCGTTCATTCAATGATACTTCAAAATACGTCCACGAAATATATGAAACATCTAGCTTTAACTGTTCAAACCCTCGCTGAAATACCTCAACGTTTTTCTACTTTTATGTTCTTGTTTTAACAAAATAAAGATATCACCCTACTTTTAAGTAATTTTCTTCTGAAGAATTATCAGGTCCAAAGTTAATGACTTTTAGAATAAGACTGACTTGAGTGGCTTTAGATCATTCTTTTGTACATTCGGGGTCTTGTTGCCTTCGTTCTAGGAAATTAAATCAACTCGAATTTAGTCTTTTTACAACTACGGATTTTAAACAAATTCATAGTTTCTCTGAGCAACGAAAGTGTCATGATGTAATGAGCCAAATCAATAGACCCTAATAACACGTGACAAAAAAAAGTGATTTGTTTAATGATCCAAACCAACAAAAATTCTTCAAACTTTTTAAAAGCATAATTGAACTTTGCAGTGTTCACGTTTATTTCATGACTGCTCTTACTTGTCATTCTATTTTATAAAACAAAAAATGATCATAAATCACGAAATATTTTTGGTTCTGTTTATTATTTAAATAAGACATTCATCTATATGATGGAAAATAAAGATAATTGTAAATTCTCTATTAAGATAAAACAATTTTAAATACTCGTATGTTGTAAAATATATAATAAATTTTCTCTTGTATTTTTCTTAATAACTTATTCAAAGCCATACTCTGCATTACTTACTAACCTTGTCAAGCTGTTCAAATATCTTGTCTACTCTTCTTTTAGGGTTAGCTTCATCGTCTTCTGGTTGAGTTTTACTACCCTGGGAATGATAATAGTTTACTTTGAATGTACGTTTTAACAAAGATCGAATCAACGCATAATCCTGCCTTACAGCTTTACACAATTTGGAAACTTGAACTCGGATCGCCGACATCCCGTAAACATTCTTTAAATTCGTTTTGCAACTATGCATTTCGAAACTAAGTAAAAGATATAATCAAAAGTCACAGAAATATTAACAAATTTCTAGTATCTAAAGTGAAGCAAAAACAATCACCGATGTTTAATAATCCCTAGAAACGTTCAAGCATTTTGTAAAATGTCTTTAGATATTACCAATATAAGTTTATAAAACTTCTGAACATAATTATAGGCCAAGTGAAATACAAATTGGTTCTCAACTGAAAAACGATATCAAACCCACCAGGGGATCTACCTTTTATTACTTGTCACGTTGCTAAGCAACTGTTTACCGATAAAGTAGCGTTCATTCACTGGAAGTGAGGGCAGATGTTTGTCAAGTTCATTTAGCCTAAAACTTACAATCTTCCTCGTAAAGCCATAATGATCTTCCGCGAGCGGGATGAAGAGAAACTTAACGTTTCTGACCACCCCACGTTATTTCCCGAAGTTTCTAGTTAACTCCTGGATACATCAAGACCGAAACATCTGCCAATAGATATGTTTGTTTACTGGGAGTTCAGCCCAATTAGTCGGTTTTCTGGCATGTGCGATTGATTTTTTTTTCTCCTTCTCATATATTGATGAGAATATTGTTTAGAATAAATAAATACCGGTTGGAGAGTAACTGGGAATTAAGTCACGTCAAAATTTCAAGTTTTAAAAATTTATAACTTATGTTTTATTACAGATCGCATATTTGCTTGGAACTGGTTACCTTGGTTCTCTCCCCAAAAAGCAGCACAGAACCTCTTCTTCCTGTCCTATTTTCGGCTCGCATACACGGCTTTACCAGTTGTCTTGAGTTAACTCTATTGATGCAAACACACGCATACAACTACAGTTTTACAAAATCACCCATTCACGACCTAAATAACTGTCATGAGATTGAATCAAATGATAAAAACACCATTACCCAAGTCAGTGCAAGATAAGGCCATATAAAATTATACACTATTACCATTATACGTTCATCTGTGGTGTGTAGCAGTTAACATGTTGACTATGCATCAACATTAGTTTTCCCTGTCACATACACTACTACCATTATACGTTTATCCGTGGTATACAGCATTTGGCATACAGGCTATGCATTGAGTGTGTTAGACATTATGTTAGCATAACATTTATTCTGATATTTTTGTAATTAAGTTCACCATTTACAAGCATGTTTTCACTCTTATTAACTAGTGGAAATAGTTTCTAAGATTATAAATGTTAAACTGTTTTATAAACAAACAGTATAGATGCATGAATTAAAGTTTTACAGTTCCGACGAAAACAAACCATTTATAAAAAAAAATAAAAATTAAAAACTAGTTGTTCATGGTGAATAAATAAATAGAGAATTGAGGAAAACGTACAATTGTTACGACCATGAAATATTTGTGAAAAGTATAATTGTCTTTGTTGTGTTCAACTCTGTAATTAGTTTAATTTTTTCCCACAATCATTTCTTTATTTCTTTTAATGTTGTTGTGTAAAGTGAAATACTTTTGTCACTACTTCTTTGTCTTTTTATTTTTTTCCAGGATGGCACCATTGAATTTGAGGAATTCATCCGGGCACTTTCCGTGACGTCACGAGGAAACTTGGATGAGAAACTTGTGTGTGAGTGAATGTGTCCGTTTGGTTACATCAAATCGATCCCTATTTATATGCAATAACTTCCGTCTACAATAATTAATACTAATAAGGTAGAAGTGCCCAAAGGAATTCGAAGTATTCAAAAAGGAGTAATTGAGGCGTAGTAATAATTTCCCAGTGAAATTACAACGCGTAGCAAGTATTTTGATTATGCACAGAAAGTTTATTTTTGTTGTTGTTATTCAATAAAGAGAATGTATTTGGAAGCGATGACGTAAATGTTTTTCCTGACAGGGGCGTTCAAGCTATATGACGTCGACAGTGACGGATTCATAACAAGAGAAGAAATGTACAGTATCGTAGACGCCATCTATCAGATGTTGGTAAGGATCTGAATGCGGTTTGTTCACTGTTAGGTTGCGCTTACGCTACCTTTTAAATGTTAGTAAATGTAGGGTGTAGTGTAAACGAAGTTGGCATGTTGACTATGCATCAAGTGTGTTAAACATTGTCTAATATTAGTTTTTCCTGTCATTTGCTATACACCACAGATGAACGTATAATGGTAATAGTGTATGTGACAGGAAAAACTAATGTTAGACAATGTTTAACACACTTGATGCATAGTCAACATGCCAATTGCTATACACCACAGATGAACGTATAATGGTAATAGTGTATATGACAGGAAAAACTAATATTAGACAATGTTTAACACACTTGATGCATAGTCAACATGCCAATTGCTATACACCACAGATGAACGTATAATGGTAGTAGTGTATGTGACAGGAAAAACTAATATTAGACAATGTTTAACACACTTGATGCATAGTCAACATGCCAATTGCTATACACCACAGATGAACGTATAATGGTAGTAGTGTATGTGACAGGAAAAACTAATATTAGACAATGTTTAACACACTTGAT